TGTTGGCTAAAGTCTGCAAACATTTTTTATGATATTCAGTCAAAATCTGGCTTCCTGTAACTTGAACCCATTCTGATGTGTCCTTCACTCTGGGATGATCAAGAACAAATCCTGCCCTTCCTCTGTAGGACAGCCTTTCAAGTCTTTGAAGGGTACTCTCCTGTCTCCCCTCCATCCTCTTTTCTCAAGGCTCAACAGACCCAGTTCTTTCCATCCTTCATCCTTATGTAAGGCTTGGTTTCCAGCCCCTTGATTGTCGTTCTTGCCCTCCTCTGAACTTGCTCCAGTTTGTCATCATCCTTCTTCAAGTGTGGTGTCCAGAATTGTCCGGAACAGACCAGGGCTGAATAATGGGGAACTAGCCCCTCATGGAATTTGGAAACTACTTCCAATGAATTTGAAAATCACATTGGCCTTTTTTGCAGACACATCTCACCGTTGGCTCATCTTTAGCTTGCGGACTACGACAACTCAAAGATCCTTTTCACTCTGAGTATCACTGAGCCAAGTATCCCGCAGCTTGTAACTACATTTGGGTTTTTCTCTTGGTAGACAACTTTGCACTTCTCCCTGTTAAGCCCAAGCATGGCATCTGTAATGTACGGAAATTCGCACTCTCGTGCTAACACATTTAGCATTACAGAAATGTGCTGATTTAGAACATTAATTAGTTGGTAAGCTGATCCACCCACTAAGACAGGAGACGGACAGATCATTCATCTTTAAAATACCTCTTAGACTGGTGAAAGAGGAATGCAACAGGAAGCGACCCAATGACAATAGTTGACATCTGAAGGTAAGGGCGAGCGTGTTGCCAGAAATATGTGTTTCTTAGGTATGTATAAACCGTGTGTTTGTTGGGTAGAAATCCTTGAATGTAAAAGCTTATCACTGCAACCCCTGAATCCTGTACCGGTCAGAATGGTGGCAAAAAGGTTGTAGCATAAGGGGTGGGGGTGGGGAGAGAGATATGACTTCTTTTTGTACCTGAGGTAAAAAACAAAACCCACATTCCCTCAGCTGTGGAAAGTGAGCACAGTCAAGGAGTGGTGTTAAAGCCTCCCACTTTCCTGAGGTGCTACTTGTCTACTTGCGGGGAGTTGAGGAGAATGAAAACAAAACCGCCACATGGGGGAATCTTTCGAAATGGGAAAGGCAATGCCTCCCCCTTGATGGTTCGGACTAAAAGCCAGAATGGATCCGGCCCTCCCGCAACAATCGGAGTCACCAGCCAGCCTTGAGAACTGCCCCTCCTCACCCACCGACCTGCGCCAAGCCGCTCCTTCTCTAGCGGGGCTTCGCCCTGACACCTGCCCACACCCAACCCAGAGACGGCGGACGTACCACTGTGTACGGCAATGACCGGACGGTGGTGCTGGGTGAAGCTGAGCCGAGGGGACGTGTCCTGCGGTGAAGGGCTGTTGAAAGGAGACTTGTCCATTTCTGTCTTTTTCACCGTCGGGGAGATGCCTGGGAAGAAAAGTGGAAGAGTCAGCCGAACAAAGCATTATTCACCTCAGCGGTGGTCGGCAATGACTTGCCCAGCGAACAAACATTCTGGTTGTCTCGTCTTAGCCAAGGCTTGCTTTTCAGAGCTCAGCCTAACACAAAACCGCTATCGGAGTCCGGTCTCTCGCACTGGGATCCTAGAGCTATCGAATGGGCCCTGCTTTGCTTCCTTTCGGTCCCATTTCATGGCTGGGAAGCGTGAGGCACCACAAAAAAAAAAACATTGCTGGATTTGTCAGGGAAGGGAGGTGGAATCTGTGACTCAGACGAGACCCCTCTGGGGTGGGGCCCCCTCATGCTGTTGTATTGCCCCATCGATCGCTCAGCCGAGACCCCTCTGGGGTGGGGCCCCCCTCATGCTGTTGCGTTGCCCCATCGATCAATGACTGCGAATATCGGGGGGGCATCCTATCACAGCCGTTAGGGGAACAAAAGTTAGGAGGTCTCTCTCCCTGGAGGCTTCTGTTCCGCGTACCCCACCAAAGCCCAGGAAAGTGACTACAAAATCCCAGCATCCCCTCCAGCCAGTCCAGATGGGACCGGTAGTCCATAAGACGTTCCTTTTTCGCCGTCTCCCAGGTGCACACCAGCGTGTGAGCGAGTAAGAGAGGGGTAGACAGAGATCATCTCCTACCCTCACATGCCGGCTTAGTGGGTTTAGGCAGGACCGCTAAAGGGTTTAGGTTTTTCTCCGGCGCTCATTTGGAAGGATTTGACAGAACATCCAGTACAAGGATTGAAATAAACCGCTTCGTGCAAAGCATCCAAACACACAGCCTCTCTCCAGGAAACAAATCGTGCACCTTCTCTCGCCACATATATGGATAATCTACTGTCTTCTGCTTTTAATAATGTGCTGTTAATGATGATAGCTGCCTTCCGTCCTCTTTTTTTAAAAGAAGACAAGTGGGGTTAAAAACATTTTAAAGAAAGAAAAGAAGAAATTCGTGGAGATACGGAGCTTGGCTGAAAATTTGCACAAATATCCACAATTTTTTTTTAAAACCCCAGGAAGGAAGGAAGAAAAGAAGGAAGGAAGGATAGTAAATAAAGAAGAACCTACATTTTGGTATTATAGTCAACAGGCATAAAACGTTTAAAAATTTTTGCTCTCGCTCTGCAAGAATAAACTAAGCAGTATTTTCCTTCTCTAATCTTCAGTAATAGAATTAGATCAGTTCAGTACTGTTTTAATGGTCCCTGGTTCCCTCCTATGGAATTCTGGGCTTTGTAGTTTGGCAGGGGACTCAAAATCCTTCACTCTGGTGTATATCCCTGATTCCCAGCCAAAAATGAGAATATTCCAAAACCTCCCAGCATGCCATGGGACGGAGACGGGAGATTAAAGTGGAATCAATCTGACATTAGTACCCCAGGCAGATACAACCATACCCCAGAAAAGAGGAATCTCTTTCTAAATCACTGATTCTGAGATAAACCACGACCAAAATCCACAAAATTTCCAAAACGAAACACAAAAAGCAAAAAGAACACCAGGCTGATTTCAAACCCCGGCCCATTTCCCCAAAGATTACCGAAACACATTAAGAATGAGTCATTAAATGATGATCACACCAAAACACTTTCCCCCCACCTCCTGGAAAGAGGTTTAGCAACCTTGCTGATATTCACAATCACCTGGCTCAGAATACGAATTCACCCACCTTGGCAATTGGGAACATTGTAGAAAACCCTGGGCATTCCACAAGTTAAGAGGAACAAACTTAACTGGCTAGTTGGTGGTTGTGAGTCAGTTGTTCAATACCAACCACAATGGGCTAGTTTGGGAGGAACACTTCTAGCCTTGGACTCTGGTGGAGACCACGCCATCGTCTACCCACGAATCCAGGAGTGGTCTTCCTATCTTAGAAACCCCAAACCCTGTTCCTACTTCAAAAACTCTCAGATTTCCTGATAAAAAAAAAGGTGTGGAGTATTTACACTTTACTCTAGAAGCAAATCTCTACTTCTGGAGGGCTGGCCGGCCACAGCATTTGGCCACTTGTGGCCCACCAGGGTTGGTTTTCCCCCAAACCTATGGGCAAAACCATTCCATTAGAATCACTCATCATCTTAAACATCTTTAACTTTGATGGCAGAAACATCAAAACTCAAAACTAGCCACCTGGTACATGGTGTTCTGAAAAATCCAAACTCTAAAAATACGTATCATCACCCCTGAGGGTGTAACTCGACCCAAGACCAAACAGAAGATGACCCAGCTCCTTCTCAGACCACAAATCCCAGCATTCTCTAAGAGGCAGCCAAGGCAGATCAAGTTGGCTCAAGCAATCGAGACAGTTGGGGACCTTCTACAGCAGCGGTTCCCACTCTTGGGTCCCCGGATATTCTTGGACTCCAACTCCCAGAAGTCCTGGCCAGCACACAGAGGGTAGTGAAGGCTTTTGGGAGTGGTAGTACAAGAATCTCTGGGTCGCGTGACCACTTCCAGTTCACCGTGCCCACGAACTTCTTTGGACGTGTTGGGATTTGAACCGAGCTCTCCCGAGACCTCCCCTAGCGCTCTACCCATCACACCACGCTTCCCTGAAGCCACGGAGGTGAATCTGAAGTCCCTCCATGAACCCTGAACCCCACCGTCCTCAGACCGGAGGCCACCTCACTTACCCCCTTCCATGTCTTCTGTCCAGTTGCGGCTGCTACTTGTGGGGGAACTCGGGGATGTATAGTATTCGCCTCCCGGGCTGGCTTCCAAATCGTCCTCTATGGACCCGGACTTATGCCGTTTACTCCTTAAACAGAGGGAGAAAGAGAAAGCATCGTTACCCCAAAAGAATGTTCAATCTCTCATTGGTCTGGGCTGCCTAGACCCAATCCGTGGATCCTTTAAGCCCTGTGAAAAGTCTCACCTCCAGCGCGAGAGGGAGACGGAACGGAGCCACACTTTTCCCAGTGTGTCATCCAGTTGTCGAGAATTCGCTCAAAATTCGCACCGAACTCCACACAAAACTCGCCTCCTTCCTCATTGAGAATCCGAGCAAACCCATCCTTATCACCGACGGCAGACTTACCCGCTGGAAGACGTGCTGGGAAGCGTCCGCCTCATCCCCGTACTCGAGGGGTTCAAATCGTAGGCAAGATGCCCCTGCAACTCGCCGAGGGAGAAATTTGGCCCTGTGCCGGTCACAACTGGTGCTGCGAGAGACATAGACAACGTAGTAAGAAAAACCAGATGTGGTGGTCGATCTCGAAAGTTTGGGGGTGGGGTACAGGGTACTGTAGGCAGTGCAGAAATAAGCCCTCACAAGTAACTAGCTTGCAGTCATTGCTCACAAATAACTAGTTTAGAATAATTGGTTGCAAGTAACTAGTTTGCAAGATAAGTAAATAATTTGTAACAATTGGTCACAAGTAACACGCTTGCAATAACTGGATGCAGGTAACTAGTTGGCAATAATTAGGCACAAGTAACTGGTTTGTAACAATTGGTCACAAGTAACTAATTTGCAACAATTGGTCACAAGTAACTAGCTTGGAATAATTTGTTGCAAGTAATTAATTTGCAAGAATTAGTTATAAGTAATTAATTTCCAACAATTGGTCACAAGTAACTAGCTTGCAATAACTGGTTGCAGGCAACTAGTTGGCAACAATTGGTCACAAGTAACTAATTTCCAACAAAAGGTCGTAAGTAACTACCTTAGATTAATTTGTTGCAAGTAGCTAGTGTGCAATAATTTGGTTACACGTAAATTTGCAGCAACTGGTTAAATGTAACTAGTTCACAACACTTAGCCACAAGAAGCCAGTTTACTTGTCATCCATATCTTTTTCCAATCATGTGGTCAAGCTAAGTGAGATCACAGTTGTAACTTAACTGGTAAGTTCCCATTGGCTAACTTAAGGAAAATGATGTTGAAAATTGCAGTCATAACAGTAAGATTTTTTTTAATAGAATTACGTATACTGTTCTTTCAAGGAAAGATTTACCTCCCTCATCATGGGGTGTTTGATGGCAGTGAAACAGGCCATAAGCATGAAATATCAGAGTGTTTCATTTAAAACTGTGCTCCGCGTTTCTCCCCCTCTTGGATATGAGGATTTCTTCGAAAATCTTCCAACTAAATTTAGTTGGGCACATAAAATGTATGGTGTTTCTCAAACGCTGCAAACCATGTGTGCCCAACTAATTTAAGGGAGAGATGCCCCCAGGCCGCTGTTCTCTTTTCTCCCGAAGGCCACCGCTGGATGTGCTTGTTTGCCCGCCAGATGCACAACGCCCCTGTGAGGGAGGCCTTCCTGAGTCAACGCAAAAGCCCCCCCGACATGTGTGTCTCACTTCCCAGGAACACAAGACTTATCCTCGACTCAAAGAAACACGAGTCAGTAAAGAACCAGCGGCAGGCTACTCACTCCGGGAAACCTGGATTAGCTCGGTGACGCTGAAGACTCCCGACGTGACAAAATTCTCTTGGAAATCGGTGGCATCTATTAAAAAGAGGGTTCGAACCCATTCAAAGCCTGCTCCAAGATGAACCCTCTCCCGACCAGAAGACCCCCCTTTTTTTAGGAAACCCCCCCCGCCTGTGCGCTTACCCAGCGTGATGATCGGTTTACTGTCTTCTTGATCGGAAGCGATGCCCGTCCTTGGACTACTGCTTTGATCCGAATCTTTAAAAGAAAGAGAAGCAGGATACAAGTTCCAGATTTGCTCAGAAGGCGAACACACACTGCCCTCTATTTGCTCACTCGCGTGTGATTCTTTTCCCCCCCACACACACAGGAACTTAGGAAATTACTTTAAAAAACGGTGATGCTCAAACTACAGTAAGTTAAACGTGGCGCGTTTGTGGTGCACGATGTCAAGTCGCAACGGCTTTAAGGCAGCTCATTTAGAGAGTCAATCCATCTCAGATTAGGACTTCCTCTTTTCCTGCTCCCTTCAACTTTTCCTAACCTTATTGTCTTCTCCCAGGAATCTCATCTTCCAAAACACAGTAGCGGTACGGGAATAAAGATTAATATTGCAGTACAGTAGTTTCTATGGACGGAAAAGAGCAGATACGGATTAAATGGTTTTCAATGCATTCCTATGGGAAATGCAGATTCAACATAAGAACTTTTCGACTTGAGAACCACCTTCCAATACGGATTAAGTTCTTAAGTAGAGACCCCACTGTACCACCAATATCTTCCCAGACCACTATCCTTCGTCATGTGTTTTGATATTACTATCTTTCGATCTCGCTATCGTTTGAAATATCAAAAGATGGCTGTCTTACACCACTGCTAAAACCTGGGGCTGAAAAACGCCTGTCTTTACAAACCCAATGGTGATACTGTGCTGCAATATATTTCCTGCCTTCTGATGACCCAGAAGCCACAGTTAAGAGCTGAGTTTCATGGTGGGTTATGCCAGAACAGGTTGCCAGAATCTGGAAATGAGGAGGGTGAAGATAAGAACACCGGCCATGATCCAGGGTGTGATTTACTCTGCATCACTCAAGGGAAGACAGAAGGTGCAAGCAAGCTCCTGTTAAGGCACGCACTTGATCACACCCTAAAGGGTGATTTTAAATGGGAGAGATTTCCCTGAAAGTCACCCATCTGTCTGACGGGGAATCATTCTAACCCGGCCCCCAAAACGGGAGAAGGCCGAAAGCTGGACCCAAAATGTGGGCCTCTGAGCAAGCTAATTTCTCTGTGCATCGTGTGATTGACAGGAAACAGATCACACTGGATCGTTCCCAAAGAGGCCCAATCCGTAACCTCTTTTCTTGCACGACTTCCCCCTAATTCAACCTGCAAGTGGTTCAAAAATACAACATCTGGGAGGCTTCGCTTGGAATGAACCTAAATTTGAAGGTGAAAGATATCACTCCCTCTACTTTGCCGAGACACTCATTTCTTACTCCGTATCAATGCACGGAAACCGTCTCATCATCACGAGAAGGACACAGCAGTCTTTGATAGACACTATCTGTTTGACTCCCTCTTTGATTCCATTCTTTATAAAGCAAAGGGGAACTCTGTACGGGCTCAGGAACGTTAAACCCAGTGTCGTTCTACACACGTGTTGTATACATTATCGAGCCACTTCCGAGGTGACGGTGACCAGGATAAGATTTCCGGGGCATGTGAGATGTTCAAGGACGGTTTTCTCACCTCCCAGTGACTTTCCATGGCCAAGCTGGGATTCGAACCTGGGTCCTGACCCTACCCTTCCTCTGCTCCTCAACTCTTCTATTATCTTTTTCTGGGAGGAAAAAGAGAGAGAGAGAGAGCATGACCTCCACTGCCTAGTTGAGGAAGCAGGAGGTTTGAGGGATGAACTGACTCGAGGGCTTTCCAACGGGTGCCTTTCCGCAGCATATCTCCATCGCTCCATGGAAGTGCCACGGGGCCGGGCCACGGGGAGGGAGCCGAGGAAACGCCACTGCAGCAGAGCCTCACTCCTCTTCCATCCTCTCTCCCCCCTCCCGCCTTTTCCTCCTCATCAGGAACCCAACTCACGCCTCCTCGCGCCGGCTACAGCCCCCGAGAACTCCTCGTTCTCCATTTTCCATCTTATCTAAAAATAATCAGGCTCGTTGGGCAGTCAGAGGCAGACGCTGAGCTCAGCACTATCTGGATTAGACAGCCCCCTGCTCTCTCTCTCTCTCTCTCTCGCTTCCCCCAACCCTCTACAGTTTCCACACCAACACACACACACACACAAACTCACTTTCCAATGCAGCAACCTTTGGCTTCAATCCACACGTCCCTGGATATCATTGATGGAGCTTCTCTTTTCTCTCTCTCTCTCTCTTCTCCCTCTAAGTGGCTTTCTAAAACTACGGAGGCGAGTGCGAGTTTTCCCGCAAGGGCCACGGGGTCCCGTCTGCTGCAGAACAAAGCTACGAAAGGGCCCTGTAAGCAGGTGGCCAAGTTTTTATCTGACCCAAGGGAGAAGGTCCATATTCTCATCCCAATCGCTCAGGGGTTGAAATCTCTGGCTGTGGAGCCAGAGGTTGGGAGTTCAATTCCTCCACTGGGCCTCCTGGACAGAAGCTAGGCTTGGTTATCTATATCAGGGGTCCCCAGTCCCCGGCCAGATACTGGACCATGGCCTTGGCAGGACCAGGCCGCGGAAACAGATCTCCTCTCCTCCGCACACACGCACCCCCACGGATGCCCCCCAAACATACATGCATGGATGCCCGCATGCCCCACCCATGCATGCATGGATGCTTGCAAACCGCCTGCCCACATGCTAAACCGGTCCGTGGTGCGAAAAAGGTTGGGGACCATTGATCTATACGGTCCCTTCCAGCCCTGCCATTCTAAGATTATTATAAAACTGCTGGATAGCTTGGGAGTTGAGGTCTCTGGCTGTGGAGCCAGAGTTTGGGAGTTTGAATCCCCCACGGTGCCTCCTGGGGGAGAAAAGTCAGCCTAGGGTCAGCTGCACAGTCCCAGAAGAAGTTAAAGGGGGAACCACTTTCGGAGTACTCTCTACCAGGAAAATCCTGGGGAAAAAAAACACTCACCCTAAGTCAGAATTGACTTGATGACTCATGATGATGATAATTAAGGCATGTGTGTGCATTAGCAGAGAAAAGAGAGATGCTCCAATCTATTATATTTATTTATATGCTGCTTTTCCCTGGAGGCAAAAATGAGGTAACTGAGGCTGTTCTGCTTTGGGCACCTCACAGGGAAGGCGTGTTCTCTGGAAAAAGAATACGAAGGCGGAAGGCAGCAGGGAAAGAGGAAAACAAAATATGAGATGGACTGACGCCCTAAAGGAAGCCACGAGCTTTGAGTCTACAAGCACTGAGAAGGGTAGCAGAGGACATTTCAGAGATCGCTTATTCAGGTGGTGGCCATAAATGTGTGTGTGTGTGTGTCTTGATGGCACATAAAAAGAACTATCCCCAATGTCTAAACCCAAAGAATCCTTAAGATGCAGCCACAGATGTTAAAGTCGTTATCGTGGTGGCAGAGCTGCTCGAAGCAAACAGGCTTTGAGAGACTAAGAGAGAAAACCCATAGAGGAGCGCTGCATAAGTAAATTGTCCAGATAGGGAATGAACAAGAGGGGCATCCAGGCACATCGTACCTTGACCACAAACACTTCCTCGGGTCGAATCTCAAGGCCACTGTCTGGCCACAGACCTCTTGGCATGGACTTGGGATTACCACCGCCCAGGAAGTGCTTTCGGGATGGAAGAGGGTTAAGAACAACGAGCTCATTTGTGCAAACGGCATTTGTGAGCCCGAACGAGCGGAGTCACGGCTAATCAACATGAAGATCGTTGCCGAGGGGGGAAAAAGATGGGCGGAGGAGCTATGAACCGAAAACAGCCAGCCTCTCTGTTTTTAATTTTTTTTTTCACTTCTTCGCTTCCATCCTGGCCCGCCATTGCCTCTCTCCGTCACAGCCCGCACTTGGCCTCCGAACCTGGGCCTGCGCCAAACTCTGGCTTGGCCAAAAATTTTCCCCTCCAAGCTCCCTGCCACCACCTCCCTCCTGCCTCCGTCTCCT